GTTACAGGAATATACACACACATACAGTTACACTGTTTTCAGACACTGGATGACAGGCAGCACAGAACTTGATCTCTGAATCAAGGGAAACAATGTGGGCCTGACAATTTCTCCAGCCAACTGCCTGGAGATAGTTTCCAGACTGAAGTACAGAGAGAGGGAATACAGACAGGGCCTGGAGGTCCTGCTGAATCGCAGAGATAAATATAAGTGTTAAGAGGTGTGAGGATGGGAATCAAGGCAGTGAGAATTTGCAGGGCAATGTATTGGAGAGAAAAGCTAATAGCAGAGGTTTCCCTACAGTCTTTGGCTTAGTACTGACCTACACATGTGTGGGCTGAAACTCATGAGATCAGAGAAAGAATTACTATGAAGCAGTAGGTTGGATAATTTCTGGAGCTCAAAAAAGACTGAAAATAACATATGTTCCCACCATCCAGAAAGGGTAGGCCTTCTAATATAAGAAATCATTGGGTAAAATTCTCAGAAGGGTCAAGTCTTAGTAGTGAAGCTAAATTATACACAGAATACAGGCTTCCCTGAACCTGTCATAACAAAATTTAAGAACAAGCCTTGAAAAATAAAACTTATCTGCAAATACATTAAATGCACCCCAGAACAAAGTTCAACAGTCTTCACAAGAATACAATGAAATCCAACACCCAACAATGTAAAATTCACATTCTCTGGCATCCAACCAAAAATCACCAGGCATGCAAAAAACCAAGAAAACAGGATTAATATCCAGGAGAAAAATTAATCAATAGAAACAAAGAAATAAAACAAATAAAATTAATGTGTTCTCCCCTACTCAGCTGACTCTAACCAAAACTGATAACATTTGCAATGGTCTTGAAGTTAAGTCACATCCATTTTAATGGAGGTATCTTTCTCTAGTCTCCTAGCTAGCATTTTAGATTACAGATTTTTTAAAAAATCTTTTGATCTCAACCACAGCTAGACCTTTCTAAGGCAATATTTCCCAACCTTCCCCACCATGTATGTGGCTTTCTGATGTCAATGCATGATCCTGCTGGAGCCCAGAACAGCCCAGCCTTAGAGGTTTCAACCAGCTGTGGTTCTGTCCCACAATCTTGAGGGCTGAGAAAATCAATATCTTGGCCTGCCTATAACTCCGTTCTAAGGAACAAAAGGGATTAAAGTGAGCTATCATAAACAATATTTGGGAGCCTTCTTCTGGATTTTTGATGGCCTGGGGATTCCATTGATATCATATATGCCTTTGCAGAATGGAGGGAATTCTACTCCTACCTCAGTCAGTACCCCCAGAAAGCACAACTGCATAATTTACCAGGCCCACTGAAAAAGAAAGTGTAGGATGTCTCGTTCAGGAAAAAAGTACAGTTGTAGGCACTAAAATATAATCTTTTTTCTTTCATCCATGGTCTCTCTCTCAACCTGTTAATGGTGGGTATTTTTTTTATTTGCTATTTAATACTGTTCTAAGTAAAAAAAAATTAAATATCAAGAAAAGCCAATCAGGACTTAAAATAATTATTGTAGATATTATAAATACATCCAAAGATGTAAAGTAAAACTTGAACATAATTAGGAGATATCAAAATAATAAAAATACCTAAATGGAAATTACAGACAGGAAAAAAAAA